GGATACAGACTAACACGGCTGCTACTCTGAAATCTGAAATGTTTGTAACTGAACAAAACATTATGGTTGTTCTTTCAAAAGTTTACAACTGAACATTGACTTAATACAGCTTTGAAACTCTACTAGGCAGAAGAAAAATGCTGCTTTCCCTTTATTTTTTTAATAATTTAAGTTTAATTTTGCCTTTTTTTGTTTGTTTGTTTGTTTGTTTTCTGCTGGTCTCTGCTGCTGCCTGATTGCGTACTTCTGATTCCAAATGAGGGGTGTGGTTGATTGGTCAGTTCGTAACTCTGGTGGCGTTCATAACTCTGAGGTTCTATTGTAACTTGCATCCTATCCTAGGTGTTCCTCTACTAGCAACAAAATGCAACAAATATATGAAGCGATCCACTCTAAAATGCAAACAATAAGCATGTTTTCCAAGTCTGAGATTCTTCTGGGAATTTACTGTGTTTCACTAGAAAATCTTTTGCAACCCCAAAACTTTCACCACAATTAGAGCATGAAATTTTGTTTGTATTCTGACATGTGCCTAATTTAGCAGCAGTTATGTGATTGTAAACTCATTGCAGAACATACAGTATGATTTAACTTAACACTTCCAAACATTTTACTCTATGAAGGTATTAAATACAGCAATACTGTGAAATTGAAGGCTATTTTGTCTGTGAACCTGTATCACTCCATAGTAAATCATTTCTAAGCTCTTTTCCCCACTCTTCCCTTGCACCCTCTATAATTTGTGACTGATTTTGGTGTTCATGGAAGCACAATTTCTTTTCTCCCCAGGATGGAAGATAAGAACCTCTTCCTTGCTTTATTTCTCTGCTCCATTTTGCTTTCAACTGCCTATTCACACATGATCTTTGAGGAGAACAAAGACGCCAATCTGGCAACCAGCAACAAAATGAAACTCCCAGATCTCCCACCCATCTCTATAGTAGGTTAGTAAAATGCTATTTGGTGGCAAGCTGAAGCGCTTTGCAGAAAACAGCGTGGTTATAAATTAAGAGGGTGCATGTTGACATCTGACTAGAAAAGGGGTGGGCAAACTTTTTGGGCTGTGGACCACATCTGAGTACGGAAATTGTATGCAGGGCTGGGGCAGGGGGTTGGGGTGCTGGAGGGAGTGTGGGAGGGGGTGCAGTGTGCAGGAAGGGGTTCAGGGCAAAGGATTGGGGCATAGGAGGGGTGTGGAGTGTATGAGGGGGCTCAGGGAAGGGGGTTGATGTGCAGGAGGGGTGCGGGGTGCCAGGGCCGGCTTTAGGAAGTGCGGGGCCCAATTCGAACAGTTTCAACGGGGCCCCAGCAGGGATGACTAAAAAAAAAAGCCCCTTAAAAAGAACCCTTTCATTTCTTCCATGTATTATTTATTTTCCATGACTATATAAATAATAACAAAATTATATATTACATACATTGTGTCATATATTAATTAGCTGATGTTCACTTTCATATTAGGAAAATAATTTATCTTTTGATAGTTGTACAACTGATTTTCTTCAATAATGTTTATTTTATTAAAATTCATAAAATATTTCCTTATTAATATAAAATTGTGCCCTCTTCCCCTGCGCCTCCCGGCCCGTGGAAACAAACCCTGCTTCCCCAGCGCCGCCTCGCCGAAACAGCTGTGGGCCGAAAACGTAAGGTTGGCGGGGTGGGAGGGGGGGAAAGAAACGGCACACATAGGATGACCAGATCACAGCAGTAAAATAGGGCCTGACCCCTCCCCGCTCGGCCCCACCATCACACCCCTCTTCACCCCCTAGCCCCCCGTTGGCTTGCTGCATCCGTCCTAGTCAGTCCCCCACCCACCACTTGCCTCCTTTCACCTTCTCCCTCCCCTGCCAGAAACCCCCATGCCCACCCCTAGAAC